GTTTATGCATAATCCAATCACTATCTATCCAATGACAAGTAACACCCATATAAGACAAATTATGATAAGTTTCACTCCAAATATCAGAACAAATAGCAACACGAGAATTAAAATTGAGAAAAAAATTTGCCAAATTTATTTTTCCAGTTTTATACTGACGAATAATTTCTCGTTTAATTGTTTTTCTTGAAAAACCTCGTGCTTGAGGGTTTAATGCATGTTGACAATAATCAATAAATCCAAGTTTTTCAGAAAACATGTATGGCAAATTTTCTTCACAAATCATTTCGGCCATTTTTTGCTTATTTTGCTCGTCGCTATAAGCAAAAAGACCGCCCTTACCTCTCTTAGCAAACCGAGAAATTTGGGTTTGCACTTCTTGTCGTCCCTTCTTTTTTGCCTCGTATTTGGCAAACTCCACAGGATGCCTCGACCTTAGGTGTTTTTCCGGACCGCCATAACCGCCGGAGACTCCCATTTTTATGACGGTCCCACAATGTTTACAAGTTCCATAAACTACGCCATCTTTTGTTTCTTTGTCAAAATGATAAATAAATAACTCTGATTTATATTTTTTTTTACCTTTTTCCAGACCTCGAGAGGTCGCAGGCTCACCTGCCTCCACGCCGACGTCGTTGCTCTGCGGTGTAGGCTCCTCGTCCCCGTCCAGATTATCCAGATGTGCTTCATCAACATCTTCGAATACACTATCAAGAGTGGGGAGATTTCCTTCCCCTCTCCAGAATAAATCTGGTCGAATTCTTCATCCGTCATAGCGTCCCCGATTAAGTGATCGGGGATAGCAGGAAAGGAAGAGACGGAGTGTCTTCCTCGAGAAACGCGTGAGGTCGAACCGTCGGAGGTGGCTTTTGCTTTGCCTCTACTCGAACTTTGGTTCACGGCGCCCATATCCACGGACCTTCTACCTGTAACACCCCACCCTAGATGACCCGAGTCATCTAGACCAGAGTGTTAGTAAAACCGGGCTACTTTGTAAACTAATTTTTTTTTCGAAATAGATTCTCTTTTGATAACCAAAGAAAATAAAAAAAACATTTTTCGCGTAAGCTTAAAGTAAAAACATCCACAGTTAATACAACCTTGGCTTCAAGCCCAAAAACATTGTAAATTAAGTTCGATGCTTTAATCGTCAATAAATATTAAATAAGAACTCTTTCGGCACGGCCTCCACGTCTAAGCTTTCCTCATCAGCAGTTGTTTTCCTTGCTAGTACCTGCGTGCAGTTAAACACTACACGCTCAGCATAAGCTGAGTGGCAAATAACCAGTAGACATATATAACATGTAAACATATTTTTGAGCATTTTAGGTTATTCATGTTTTATGAGCCTTTTTGCATAATTACAAATCATTAAGTAAATAATCTCACTTTGAGAAGTTACTTGGGGACATTTAGAAAACACTTGACTTACTAGTTTAACCACAGATTAGGAACTAAGCCGTGACTAGGCTGGAACACCGCACTAGTCGATACGTAGTTTTACTTCGGATACCTCCCCGTGACCTCGGGTCCAGTAATCAGAAGTGAACCCTAGACCCACGGGGTCATCGTCAGGTTCTCGTGCGCACGTTGTGGTATGATTGTTTATAGGCTCATCCACATGGACACGGTCCGGCCTTAAAAGTGGTTTGACCCACATGATAAAAACGTGACAGTACTTGGTCAGAGTACGTCGATATATAAATCTTGAACTTTTACTTAGTCCACTAATTTGTTTGATTAATCTGGTAAAGTCGTTTACATAAATCGTGTTTTTTAATCTCTTAAAAAAAACCATCATACGATATTGTCCCCTTTTCATTTTCTAAAACATCATGCAACTTGATCAATTAGACATTCAAAGCGTAAAAACAATTTACATTTCTATTCATTAATCAATCATATACCAATATTTTTAAGAAAACAAACATACCAATTTTTTTTATACTTATTGTCACTTACGACATGGAACAAAAACAATTTAAATGGAATCGACAAAAGTTTATCATGACATGAACAAAGTTTCATTTTTGTTTATAAAACTAACCAAACTAATTTTTTAAACCTTTCGACCAAACTGTAGTTTGATCAATCATAATCATTGATTATGATTAATCACTATAAAACCTTCGGCCCTTACTATTTAAAAACAAAACTTTTGTTTTTTAGAGAAACAAACGGTTTTTTTTATTTAAACCTACTGCCGAAAGAAAAGTCATCCTACTAAAGTACTAATCATTTTTTTTTTATTATCAAATATTTTTTTTAACCTTCGGTTAAAAACTTTTTTTATAGAAAAGATAATGGTGGTACCAATAATAATAATACTAACAATAATAATTAAAAAGATAATAACAATGATAATAAAGAATAAAACCTCTGCCGATTGTATAATCACCATACTAATCAACTTTCTTTTTATTATCACTTTTTTTTCCTTAACTTTCGGTTATATGTTTTTTATATATAGAGAATATAATGATGGTACTAATACTAATAACAAATATAATAAAAATGATAATAAAGAATAAAAACTCCGATCCATTTATGCCATTACCGGAAGTGTGCAATTGTATAATTACTTTTTTTTTTGGAAGCCAAGTGAAATTTATGTTTGACATGTATATTTTTATTATTATTATAATTTAATGACTAGTATCCTCCTCTTTTAATTGATTATCTCAAAGAGTAAATTCATGTTAATAAAAATAAAAGGAAATGCACAAAAATATATTAACATGAAATATATATCTAAAGGTTAGGGTCAACGGCACACCTTAAGTATCGGTTTTGACAAAACAATAGTTGGACAAATCTTGGCGGAATAAATCCGTGATACGTCTCCCGCGTATCTCCCTTCGAGCAACACCACAATCCCACCCCTACTAGCTCACTCCATCTCCCTCTACTTAGCTATGAATATATATATTTTTTCCAAAATGATTATGTGTTCTCCCTTCATAAGGAATCCTATTTATAGGGTGGGGAGAAGGTGCTAGAAAGTTATGGGAAGATGGATGGTTGTTAAATAAATTAAATATTATTTAATTATTTTTAAATTAAAAAACACATTATTAATCCTCCTAATGAGGTGAAATGAATGATGGATGGGAGGTTACAACCCAATGTGGCGTGAGAAATGGAGGGGAAAACAAAAAGGTTTTTCCGCTCTGTCGGTTTAGTACTATGTGTCCGATTTTTCCAAGTTTCAGTTCTCCAATATTTTTTTTGAAAAATATAAAATTTATACCGTTGGATTCCATATTTTTGGCACATCATTTTAATATAATTTGTTTGTCAATAAAATAAGTTAATTTGAATGGTAGAGAACCCGACTAATTTTTTTTATTCCCTTCTACTCTACTCTGTTGTTTTTCCATCTCTACTAGTAATTAATTATTTAATATTAAATTCCAAATTGATTGTTTCTAATAGTAACATTTTTTTAAATTTTAACTTTTATTATTATTATTATTATTTCGCATATATATATATATTTATTACTATTATTATTTTTTTCATTTCTTTGTACTAGAGAGTTAAAATTTCTAGACCGGTTTTCAGGGCGTTACACTACCGGACTCTCTCGACAACATTTTAATATATATATATATATATATATATATATATATATATATATATATATATATATTGATATAAAAAAATAATATATTAAATTTCGAAACTTTAAAAAAAATTCGAAATTTTATATATAAAAATTTCGAAAATTTCAAAAAAAAAAAAATAGAGAATATATTTAAAATATATATTATATATTTTTTGATATTAAAGAAATATTAAATTTCGAAAATTTCAAATAATTTCGAAATTTTTTATATTAAAATATAATATATTTAAAAAAGATAGATAAGAATTAAGAAATTAAGAATGATTGATAAAAATTAAGAAATTAATAATGATATGTTGAGATTTGAGAGAATGAGAGAATGAGAGATTGATTGATTGTGAATGTGTGATATTTTTTGAAAAAATGGGGTATTTATAATGTTATTAGTCCAATAGTCCCCCACTCCCCCCTCCCCTCCCCAATCC